CTTGATTCAGGTAGGTGCTTTAGACCACTGAGCCATCTCTCCAGCCCCCAGCCCTATTTTCAAGACAGACCTTACTAAATTTCTCAGTTGCCCAGGCTGGGCTCAAACTTGCAGTCCTCCTGCTTCAGCCTCCCAAAGTGCTGGGACTACAGGGCTAACAAGAAATGTTTTCTGATTTGTTAGACTGGTGGTGGTGGTGGTACAGCAGTCATACACAGACACACACAAGGGGTGGCCTTGACACATTTTATTTCTGCTGCGCAGGGCCTGGGGCAGGCAGGAGGCTGGCCAGGGGTAGGGAGAAGGGTTCTAGCTGGCAGATGTCCCAGGTCCTGGTTAGGGTTGAGGTCTGGGGAGCATAGGGTGGGCCTAACCCACTGGCTTGACCTTGGCGATGAAGAGGGTGGCTGCCTTCTTCAGGAACTCCTCCCGGGCCATGGGGGAGCTGGGCCTCCTCCCGGCTGCTGCACGGTCCATGGCCAGTGCCAGGTTGTCGGGCCCCAGGCGTGAGCCAGCCTCCAGGTAGCAGGCAGGGGTGGTGGCATGGTCCCCAGCACCCAGGGCACCCTCCAGGGTGTCCAGCACAGCCTGGCCCACGCAGCGGTCAGCAGCAGCCAGCCCTGGGGCCTCCAGCAGCTGGAACAGGGCACCAGCCCGTGCCACAAACTCCAGCAGTACAAAACAGGTGAGCATGCCGGCCCTGAACACGCCCAGTGGCACAGCCTCATGGTCGCGGCACTGGATCTTTCGCAGTAGTGGTGCCACGACCTCCTCTGGGGCCTGGCCGTCGCGGCAGATGCGCCGCAGTAGCTCGCTGTAGGTCCGCCCGTCCAGCCCTGGTTTCTTCTTGCGCCCACTAGCACTCAGGCATTCATAGGCCACGCTGACGTTGTTATTGAAGGCTGTCCTGAAGATGGGGTAACAGGGTGTTGGGGAACCGGCTCGCCTGACACCATGTGCCAGGCCAGGCCAACCTCAGGTATGACTGCACCTCCACCCAAAGGCTTCACAACCCCCTTCTCCATCTGTTTCCTGCAGATGTTGCTTCTAACTCCCTTTGTGGGGGGGCACTGGGGGATGGAACCCAGGGCCTTTGTACTGAGCTACATCCCCAGCCTTTTCTACCTTTCATCCTGAGACCATCTCACTAGGTTGCTGAGTTGCTCAGGCTGGGGCCAGACTTGTGATCCTCCTGCCTAGGCCTGCCAGAGTGCTGGGATGACAGGCATGCACCATCATGCCCCCAGCACCAGGCTGCTCCCTGCCCCAGGCAGGCGCTGATGTTCTGGCAGAAACTGGCCCCAGCATGCTGCATTCCTCCTCTGCCCCCATCCTGACAGATGTGGCCATGGGTTCCTGTGTGGCTCTCCCCAACCCTCCTGTGGCCCAGGGTCGTGAGAGTGAGGACTGTAGTGCAATGCGTGAGTAAACTGAGGCTCTGAGCAGGCTGATGGTCAGGCAGAGAATCCCTGAGGGGCATCCAGGGTTCACCCATCCCTATGGGGTCGGCTCTGAGATGAGCGATGGGCTCATGTCACACTGCACCCTGACTTTGTGGCTTTGCCTTCCAGGCCTGGCACAGAGTAGGCACTCAGCACTGCCTCTGGACCCCTAGGTCCTTGCTGCTGCCCAGGTCAGGGCCAGAGAGCTTGCCTTCCAAAGTCCTGTCACAGCATGGAAACGGCCAGGCTATGGCGGTGGCGCTTGGATCAGGCCACCTCTGTTTCCCAGCACTTACTGGGGTCCCATGGCTCTAGCCTGGAGTGGCTTTAGCCCCCCAACACATGAACAAGTGGTGTCACATGGAGCCAGGCAGATGCCACTGTCTTTCCTGAGCTGTCCTCGAAGTCCCACTTCCATCTGTGCTTTCTTGCTGCATGGGTGGCTCCGAGTTCTGCAGCACCCGGCGCCAGTTCCAGAGCTCTGGGGTAGCTCTTCCTGCTTTGGAGCTGGGCAGAGCTGTGTGACTTGCTTTGGCTGAGGGATGTGAATGGAAGTCACCTGTGGTCCCCTTTCTGGGCACTTTCAGAGCCACTACCAGCAAGGCACAGTGGGACATGCCTGTTATCTCAGCCACTTGGGAAGCTGGGGCAGTAGGATTGTGAGTTTGATGACAACAGGTGACTTAACAAGATCCTAGCTCAAAATAAAAAGGGCTGAGGGTGTAGCTCAGTGGTGAGCACCTGCCTAGCATGGGGGAGGCCTTGGGTTCCATCTTTAGGACTGAAAAAAAAAAAAAAAAGTCACTGCCCTGTTCCCAGAGCCCTGCTCCTTGTCCTGGGGCTGTGTACTCTCATGCCAAAATAACACTGTGGAAGCTGGGTATGGTGGCACAGAGTAATCTTGGCACTCAGAAGGCAATCCCAAAGGTGCAGTGGAGCCTTCCTGTGTTGGGATCCAGGAAACTTGGAAATTGATCAAATGTGTGTAGGTGGGACTAGGCCTCAGTGCCTAAAGCAAACAAGTTAGCTCAGTCCTGAGATAAACATCCTGTCTGGTTAAGGTCAGCTATCAGTCAGTTGGCAACTTTTGTCACGGGTTACTAACTTTGTAAAAGCATAAATAAAGGACCATTTTCTTGTGTGGTTGCCCATCAGGCAGACAAGTGACTGCCTAGCCCTGCTTTTATCTTCTTGTCTGTCTTTCTCATTCCTGCCGCCGTGTCTCCCTGGGTAGAACTGATGGCGCTGAGACCAACGGATCCCTACATTCCCACAGATGCTCTTTGTAGCAAAGCCACAGAGGAATTGTGTATGTTTAGGAATTGTGTGTGATGTATCTGCTTGTGGCCAACACACCCTTTGTCTGTTTTAAGAGGGAGTCTTGCTATGTCGCCCAGGATGGCCTTGAACTTGCAGGGATTCTCCTGCCTAAGCCTTCCGAGTTCTAGGATGACAGGTAGGCCTCACTATGCCCAGTTTCTGACTGAAATGTGTGTGGGTGGAATTGCACTCAGCTCTGTGCCCTGGTTTCCATCTGCCAGCTCTCAGGCCAGAGGCATCTGCCTTCTGTCCACCCACAGCTCTCTGGCACTAATTCTGACGTCTCTGGCTTCATGGTGGGGGGACCCTGGTCCTCTGGTTCCTCAGACAGCTGCCAGGCGCTGTGATGTGTGCTTTGCCCCGTGCTGACCATCCTTCTAGTATTCTTCCTCCACTTCCAGGCCTCGTGGTCTTGCAAATCCCTGAACTCTGACCTTGCTTTCTTCATCTGGAGAATGTGGACCAACCCCTTCCCTCAGGATTCCTGTGAGGGTGGATGGACGTGGCACCAGGAGCGTAAGGCTGTGCCTGGCTCATGGGAGGGGCCCGGTGTCCCTCACCTCCGCCGCCACATTAGCCAGGTGCTATTTACCATATGTTCAGGACTCATGACAGGAAGACACGCAGGGTGTGAATTCACAGCCTGCCGAGACCTGGGCAGGGCCAAGGGATTGGGTAAGAGGGACTGGCATCGATGCTCATGCCCAGCCACCTTGCAGCTGCCCTGCTGGGGATGCCCAGGCAGCTCCTGCTGAATCATGGGCAGCTAACTGGCAGGCAGAGCCAAGATGGGGTGGGCTCTGGGCTTGAGCATAAGGCCGAGCTCCACTGTGGTTCAATCTGTAGAATGGGGACAGAGACCACTGGGCACCTATGAGACCAGAACACAGGGCTTGACAGCATTTGATATAAAAAGGACAGAGTGTGTTCACAGATGTCTCCAGAAAGGGCCCTGCATGCTGACAGCCCACCTCTGACCAGTAGCCTTTTTGTAGGGATCACGGAATAGTAATGGCTGTCACGACTGGAGAGCCATTAGCCTGCTAGGGACTCCTTGGCACCCTGCAGTGCTCAGGACTCCCCACAGAGGTCTGAGGCCAAGAGGGACTGGCATGGGGTGGCCTGTATGTTTCCTGGTGATGACCTGTAGAGAGTCAGTGCATAGTCAGTGTCCCTCTGGCTGCCAGAGTCAGCAACATGGTGGCCTCGGGCACTACTCTCAGAGCCTGGCTTCTGCTCTGCCCCCTGGTGGCCTCTGAAGAGCACTTCCTGTCCCTGCTCCAGGGAACTTGGAGGGTCAGTTAGGCAGGAGCCCAGGGGAGACACCAAGGCTGTCATTGCTACTCTTCCTCCCTGGCCAGTGTCACTTGCCACCTGCTTGTCATCTCAGGATTCCCTCAGCTCCTGGGGTGGTGAGTGCTTTGCACTTCTTCAGAGCACCTACAAAGGGCGTGACTTCTCCCCAGAACAGCTCCGGGAGATACTTGCTGCGGCTGCGATAGATGTTGGACCTGGCCCAATGACTCAGTCCCACTGCACCCTCCGCAGTCAGATCTGCAGAGGAACTTACTCTGCCTGTGTCACCCTGTAGGAGCGAGCTGTGTCTGTGGATGGCTCCCCCTACCCTGAAGCTTGGGTTCTAATTGAGCGTCTTCTGGATGGTGACTCCCACCTCTTTGCGACACCCATTTTGAGTAGTGTGCACTGATGCCAGAAGCAGCTAGTGGCCAGGGCTGATTATGCTAAGGATGGCGGGGATCCAGGGAGTGATGGGAAACTAGGGCTATCTGGAGCCACCATCTCCAGTGGCCGGACAGTCCCAGGACTGTGGGTGATGGCTGGCTCTGAACAGAGGCATTCAAAGCCCAGCACTGCTAACACTATGCTCCATTTTGCCAATCCCTGATTTCAGTACAAAGTGAGCAACACACATCCTGGTAGTACCCTGGAAGGCAGAATAGGGATCCTTCTCTTCAGGGGCTCTGGAGGAAGGGGCTCAGCCTGTCACTGGCAGGCCTGTGACTGACTGTTGTGTCCCCTGCCGTTCTGCACTGCCACCAGCTGGTGGTGCAATGTTCCTGTCCTGAGGTGATTGGTGACCCTATCTCACCATCTGGACTTGGAGAATATGGCCTCCAAACAGGACCTTTGCAGACGTCACCAGGTAGGCAGGGTCAGCTGTAAGTCTAATAGCTGGTGTGCTTTAAAGAGGGCAGAGAACACAGAGGTCACGTGATAAGGGGTATGGGGTAACGTGGCCCCAAGGACTTTCCGTGGTCAGCACAACCAAAAAAGGCAGAAAGGACCCTCCCCTGGAGTCTCCATAGGGAACAAGGTCCTGGTGACACTTTGATTTCAGACTTCTGGCCTCTTCAACTTCTAAGAATACATATCCAGTATTTTGAGCCATTGAGCTTGTGGCACTTTGTTGCTACAGCCTTAGGAGATTAATATAAATATGTTCATCTGTGATGTTATAAGGTGAGTACTGGGACGGGGAGATGGCTCAGTAGAATAAATGCTTCCCTGGCAAGCACAAGGGTCTGAGTCCAATCCCCAGTTCTGCCAAAAATTTAAAAAAAAAAAATAAGGTGAGTACTGGGGCAGTGCTCAGCCCAGGCAACGATCCATGTTGGCCTTGCCAGTGGCTGTTTTTCCTCCTTGGAAGAGTCTTTTCTGGATGGCTGACATGCCACATTCTCCTGGCTCCTTCATCTTGGGTCTTGCCTGCCAGTCACTCTTATGGTTCTCCAAGGCTGGGGCTCCTGAGAGGATAGTTGTGAGCTCCACACAGCCCCTTGCAGATGCCTCCAGTTCCAGGCCTTCACCTCAGGTGCAGCCCCTCTGCTTACCCCCTGCTTTGACTCCTGTAGGCAAGCTACTCTGGCAATGTTCTTGACATCAGCACGCCCCACCCCAGCCTCAGCAGGCCCACCAGCTCAGCCCTTGAGGACACTGTGGCATCTACCTTCCACAGACCTCTCCCTGTCAGTCTCCTAGCCTGCTGTCACCTCAGGACACCCGAGCTCCCTTGGTCCCTGTGTGGAACTGTCTTGCTCTGTTCTCCAACGCAGCCTCTCTGGGAATCCTGGGAGCCTCTGCCCTGGGGGGAGCCAGAATCATCAGGGCTCTGCTCTGGCTTTCTCCTATTCTCTCTGGGGTTTACCCCTGTGGCAACACCATACACACACCAGCTTTGGGCTCTGCTTCCAGGGACCCCTGTTTTATGGTTTATATCTCGATGTCCCCCAAGAGCCCCCTGTGCTCATAGGGCTTTTGGAAGGTGCCTGGGTTACAGCTATAGCTGACTTACTGTTAGGAGGTGGGATCTGGTTGGAAGAGGGATCCCTGGGGCATGGCCTAGAAGGATTTACTTTCCTCCCCAGCACTGCCCTCTACTCTCTGCTTCCTGTCTGCCATGAGGTAAGTAGCTCTCCTCTACCCAGGTCCTACTGTCTGATATGCTGATGGCATGCAAGGATTAAAACTCTAGGGCCAGCCAGATAGCTTAGCAGACTAAAGTGCCTTCTTAGGCAGGCACTGTGGGATGGGGTTCAATCCCATGCTGTGTTGGCCCCGCCCCTGGGGCATGTTGAGACAGTGATTGAGACTGGGCATGGTGGCACCTGCCTGTAATCCCAGCATTTGGGAGACTGAAAACAGGAGGATCACTACAAGTCTGATCTGTGTAGTGAGACCCTGTAGACCCTTTACTAAATACATTAAAAAAAACCCTCCAAAACTGTAAAACGTGAGCCTAATGGGTAAAGCTCTTTGTTAAGCTGTAGGTTAGGTTTTTTTGTCCCAGCAATGAAGAAAGTAACTAAGACACCTGAGATACCAGCTTATACCTCCAGTCAGTGACCCTTCTGACTGAAACCTGTCAAGTGAGTTGTTCTCAATCCACAGTGATGCCAAGGGTGACATCAGCCACTTTCCCAGGCCTTGGGAGATGTGTAACCAGCAGGGCCCCTGCACCCCACAAGATCTGGATCCATCCTAGACCTTCCCAAGGCTGCAGTCCCATGCTCGGGTGCTAATAAGGTAGCTTCTGCATCACCTATCTTCAGGCCCAACCTACAGTTCTTGGTTTTGGCTTAACAGATCAGGATGACACGGAGCTGCTGGGGGGGGGGGTGACTGCCAGAGGCGGGTGGGCAGGACTGCTCTGTGACCCGGAACCTAGTACTTTCTCCATCTAGGACATTCAAAGCCAGAGGGGCTGGGGCTGGGAGTGCAGCACAGTGGTACATATATGTCTCATAAGTGTGAGGCCCTGGGTCCATTCCCCGCATGCAAAGCCCAATTTGAGCCAAGCCAAATAAAAAAATGGCAACCATAGAAGGGAAGTGTAAAGGTAGCGGCAAAGTAGACCCCTGATCGAACCCTTTCCACCTCCATCAAGCCCAAACGCCCTCACTGCCAGGACTGTGCAGACTACAACACCCAGAGAGCTGTGTGCCGGAGCCTGGCGGGGGTCTACATATGGCACTCTGGGTGTTGTAGTCTGAACCAAGCGCAAGCTGCCCCGACCTTGGAGCACAAGAACTACAACTTCCAGAGTGCCCACTAAGGAGCCTGGGCAGAGAGCGGAGGTTCAACGCGACACACGCCGGGAATTGAGGTCCAGCCATAGCACCTCCCCCCCCCCCGCCCCCGTGCGCTGTTTCGCACCTCTGCGAGTGATGAGCCAGGCGAAGGTGCCACAGCGCGCGGCCCAGGCGTTGCTGCTGCAGCAGGAGCTGCCCCGGGGGCTCCCCGGCGCCGCCGTTGGCCGGCGAGCGCAGGCCCATGTTCTCGAAGTAGTGTGCCAGAAAGGCGACGGGCTCCTCGGGCCGCGCCTCCAGCACCTTCAGCAGGGCCGCGCGCAGCATCTCCGTCACGCCGAGCTGTTGCAGGAAGTCCTCCTCGTTCTCGACTGCTGTCGCCGTCCGGGACACCGACGGCCGGCCACTGTCTGTGAAACTGGCCGCCGGTGTCACCACCGGCCGCCGCTTCTCCACTGCCGCCATGTTCGCTGAGGGCAGTGGGGCCGGAAGCATTGCCGTATTCCACGGCGCGCCGAGGCCCCAGGACGGTCATCTTGGTTAAGGGCAGATGGCGCCTGGACACCCTTTTCTCCACCGGGGAGACTCCAGGAAATAAAAAGCCACCCTTTTCCGAATGTCTAGTTGGTATTACCCTTTACTTCTCTTTTTTAAATACTGTACTTATTAGAGCTCTTGGAGTTAGTCCTGAGCCAGAACTTTGCCAGATTCCAAGATGGCTCCCTAAGCAGGGTTTGATTTCTGGCATGAAGCCGTATTGCTTGCCATCTTGATAGTGGGCGAGTCCTTCATTAACATAGTCTCTAAGCAACCAGTCTCCCTGGGTACCACAGAAATACAATTTAGTGAGCGGGAGGATGAGCGCCGCCTCCAGGATCTTTTCAGGTGCTGGTCGCAGTCTATTGGCTTGGCCTAGACGAGTTCAGCCCAACACTCAGTCTCCCTGTCTCTGTTCAGGACGCTGGATTGGGGGTCGGTGCTGACCCAATTTCTGCCACCCAGCCTAGCAGCCTGTTTGCTTTGCGCTGCCCTAGTCTGTTACTCTTCCTGACCACCAGATGGGGCATTCTACTATCGCGTATGCTATAGCTGTAAACTCAGCCACTGGGGCTCCCCAATGCCCAAGTTCCTCTTTTCCTGTCAGGAATCGTCAGCCCTTCAACTGTTGATCTCATTTATAGCTGCTCTCCTACCCCTCCCAGTCCCTACTCTCCCTAAAACAAGCCACCCCTCCATAAATCGCTCCTCCATGTCTGTCCCCATTACCCCCCAACAAACAATTCTCTAGTCCCTTGGAGATGCTTAGTTTCTCATTAAATTGCAGTGGCCCCTTACACAGAAGCACGTATAAGCCTGGCGTCTCCCAGCAGCAGGCTCTCCAGGTTTCCCCATCCTGGCCTCAGAGGACGTGTGGATGTCTGTCGCTGGGCTGTCACCCAGTGCAGGGTACAGTCAGAGATATTCGGCTGTCTTGGTATTCTCCCAACATGACAGGAGTCGCCAGTAGTCAGGGCATGTGGCCTTTATTCTCCAGCAGTGGACCCGCAGGGTGGTGGCAGCCCAGCCAGCTATGGACGGGGTCACAGGTATGTTGACCACCAGGAACAGCGAACTCACAATCAGCCCTGCAGGTGGTTGGGGGCGAGGCCAACCACCCCCTCAGAGTCCTGTACAGGCAGCAGTCCCAAACAGACAGGTGGGTGCGGGAGGTCCCTGGCTGCTGGCCAGCAATGTTTCCACAGGTGACGGGTAACCAGGGTGAGCAGCAGCAGCAGCCCCAGCGCCACACTGCCTAGCCACAGAGCTGCAGATGGCTGGGCAACCTCAGGGCTGGATGCTGGAAGAGCAGGAGGTGGGCGGTCAGGGGCCTGGGTGCTTCTGGAAGATCCACAGCAGCCCACACCAACCCTGGGTCCTGAGGTCTCACAAGAGATTCTCAATGAACCTGCTCAAGTGTAACCAGGACCTTACAAGATAGACCTGTTGAGCAAGGTGGCCACTGGCCACATCTGTGTGTGACATGGAGATGGTTGAATGCAAAAAACTGCCTGCAGAGCCATGCTATCTTTCCATGACTTCATGTGAAAAACTCAACACATTATTAAAAATAATGGAGATACCCAGGTTCATTCTTTTCTGTCTGTCTGTCTTTCTTTCTTTCTTTCTTTTGTATTTGCTACAGGGTCTCTACACAGCGCAGACTCCTAGTGATCCTCCTGTTTTCAGCCTTCCCAGTGCTGGGATTACAGGTGTGCACCACCATACTCAGTCTTGGTGGCCAGCTCAGTGTACCCCGGGGATGGGGCTAGCATGGCATGTGGAGTTGGGGATTGAACCCCAGCCCCTGCACTTGCCTAAGCAGGCTCTTAGTCCATTGAGCTATCTCACCATCCCAGGTTTGTATATTTTTATGTTGAATTTTATTTCTCTTTTTTCTCTCCCTCATTCTCTTTGTAATGCTGAGGTTAGAATTTTGAGACAGGGTCTCACTGATTTGGTAAGTTGCCCAGGCTGAGTTCAAATTTGTGATTTGCCTGCTTCAGCCTCCCACAATGCTTGGATCACAAGCAAGAACCACCATGCCTTGCTCTTTTTTATTTAATTTTTTTTTGAAATAGGGTCTTGCTTTGTGGTCTAGATTTGTCTTAATCTCACCGTGTAGCTCAGGCTGGCCTCAAACTCACAGTAATCCTTCTTCCTCAGCCTCCTGTTCCTGAGTGCTGCAGTTGCAGGTGTGCACCACCAACCCTGGCTCCTGGATCTGTGTGTGTGTGTGTGTGTGTGTGTGTACGCACAAGGTCTCATTACAAAGCTTGGACTCATAGTGATCCTCCTGCTTTAACCCTTCCCAGTGCTGGGATTACAGGCACGCACTACCGTGCTTGGACTCTGTCACTGGCTTAGTGCACCTGGGGGCAGAGCTGGCATGGCATGTGGTGGTGCCAGGGATCGAACTCTGGCCCCTGCACTTGCCTAAGCAGGCGCTTTGTCAGATGAACTATCTCACCAGCCCTTCTATTTCTGTTTTTGTTCTGTAGGCTTTCTTTTTCTTTCTTTCTTTTTTTTTTTTTTTTTTGCGGAACTGGGAATTGAACTCAGGCCCTTACGCTTGCCAGAGAAGCACTTATTCCACTGAGCTATCTCCCTGGCCCCTCTGTAGGCTTTCTTCTCAGTCTATAAAGCTGAAAATCTACAGAAATCTCTAGCCATGGAAGCCCACTGGTCAGATAGGAAAACTGAGGCTAAACAAGGCAGGTCCATTTCTTGTCTAAAGTTATTGTTTGTTTGTTTGAGGCAGGGTTTTGCTATGTAGTTCAGGCTGGCCTCAAAGTCAAAGCAATGCTCCTGCCTCATCCTCCTGAATGCTGGGATTATAGGCATGCACCACTACACCAGGCTTGTCTAGTTTTGAATCCCAGGGAGTCCATCCTTCCCAGTTCCCACCCTTAGGCACCAGAACTTACAGGTACTTGGGACTGCATTCTGGCCCTGCACATACAGGCTGGCCACCTGGCCACCAGGCTCCAGGCGGCACTGGAACCAACCCTTGGGTGTGGGGTTGGTCATCAGCGGTACACTCAGCCATGCCCAGGTGCCAGCTTCCCTGTTCTCATAGGCAGCCAGGCCCCCGGGAGCCAGGGTCCAGCGCACGGTCACGCCATGCCCACAGGATGCCTGGCATAGCAGCCCCCAGCCAGCCGCCTTCCCCATTGCTGTTGGAGGTGCCTGGTGGATCTCGGGGTAGCAGCTGCGGGGACTACTAGGGCTGTTTGAGAAGGCCTGCTCAGGGGAGCTCTGTGGGGAGAAGTCAGGGTGCTCTGTGGAGATGGGGTTGGGGTGTGCTATGGAGGTGGAGTTGGGGTGCACTGTGGAGATGAAGGTGGAGTGCGCTGTGGAGGTAGAGCTGGCATGCGCTGTGGAGATGAAGTCGGGGTGCGCTGTGGAGATGGGCTTGGGGTGCGCTGTGGAGGTGGAGTCAGGGGGTTCCAGCGAGGTCAGATCAGAGCTCTTCAGCAAGGTTGGACTGGGGGCCTCTGGTGAGGACAGGCTGGGGGGCTCCGGAGTGGTCTGGTTGAACAGGACTGGGACACAGAGCAGCAGTTTTTCTAGTGCAACCCCAGGACCCTCACTTCCCTGAGCATCCCCCTCTGGATGGGGGTGGAGTGGAGCCTCGAAACCCCTTCCAGGTCACTCTGGTAACTGCCAAACCTCACGGCAGAATCAGGTGGGGATCCTGAGCCACCACCTTCCTCTTCTCCCAGCCTCTCTTCCTTTTTTGGTTTTGTGCAGTCCTGGGGATGGCGTTCTGGGCCTCACATACGCCGGACAAGTAAGTGTCCGCCCCTGAGCTCAGTTTTACGTTCTGAGACAGGATTCTGCTGAGTTGCCCAGGCTGGGCTGAAACTTGGCTCATTCCTGCCTCAGCATCCCAGAGTGCCAGGATGATAGGTATGTGCCATGAGGCCTGGCTTGCAGGGTCTATAAAACACCTCAGGAGCCCAGCTGCCCCTTTGTCACATGGCACGCCTCCCTGGCTTTGGCCTGCACTCCATGCCCCAGTATGCCTGCTGCCCAGAGCACACACATCAGTCACAAGGATGAATGAGGTGGCCGCTGTGTGCCAGGGTCCAGTTCAGCTGTTGGGGACACAGCCCTGCATGGGACATAGATTCCCTGTTCTGTGCAGCTGGCAGTGGGGGACAGATCATGGATACAACAGGACCCAGAGGACATCAGGTGTTGATGAAGGGTGTGGAGAAACAATGACGGGACAACAGTGGGGCGTGGTGGCGCACGCCTGTGATCCCAGCACTTGGGAGGCTGAGGGAGGAAGATCCTTGCAAGTTCAAGACCACCCTGGGCTACAAAGTGAGCTCAAGTTCAACTTGAACTGCATAGCAAGACCCTCTCTCAAAAAGAAGGGGGAGGGGGAGGAGGAGGAGGAGAAGGTGAAAAAGGAGGAGGGGGAGGAGGAGGAGGAAGAGGAGGAAGGAGGAAGGAAGAGGGGGAAGGGCTGAGGACGGGTGGCACCCTAGGGTGTGCAAGGTGAAGATGCTCAGGACACAGCTGTTGAGTTAATGACTTGCTTGCTGCTTGCCACAGGGTGGTGCAGTGGAGATGGTGTCTGATCTTCCCAAGTGCCCCATGGTTGGGCACCTCCTGGGACACACAGGTGAGGGTGGGCACCGGGGTGCGTTTGGGCTAGGGGTGGCCAGGAGCAGCTGCTCACCTGGAAGGGGCCGGTGGTGGCTCAGTTCTAAGAAGGGTAATTGCATGGTGGCCTGGCAGCGCAGGGTGGCTGGGTCAAGGGTCCTCAGGGTAGGCAGAAGCCAGCGCTGGGTCACTCGGAACAGCGGGCCCTCAGCCTTCAGGGATGCCTCCTCTTCCTCCACCTCCTCCCGGTCCAGGACCTGGATGCCCTCCAGCTCCTGGTCCCTCCAGAGCAGGGAGAAGGAGAGGGCATCTGGGCCCCAGGGAGTGACACTGTGGGCTGTGCAAGCCACCTCCCTGTCCTGCCCAGGCTTCAGGACAGCAGGAGAAACAGTCAGCTGCTCCGGGAATGCTGTGGGCATAGGGGCCCTGAGGTCAGCCCGGCTCTGGTGGCGTGACCGTGGCACAGGATGAAGGGTGCCAGGCCCAGGTCTGGGGTTACAGGCATTGAGGGCAGTGCCCTGGGCTGGCTGTCCCTGAGGGTCTCTGGGGCCAGGGTGCACATGGCTCACCGTACACCAGGACTTCCACTTGGTGTTGGAAGGTGCGGCCTCCACAGGAGCCTCTGCACACTCGGGTGCCCGCATCCGCCAGGGAGGCGTGCAGCAGCCAGAGCACGCTGAGGCCAGGGTCCGACTGCACAGCGCCCAGGCTGGTGTCCAGGCCCCGCCAGTGTACGGCTGCTGGGCCGTGGGCACAGGCCAGGCTGCAGGTCAGCTTCTGTGATGTGCCCAGGGCCACTGCCACCACACGCTCCTGGGGCTCCACAAGCAGAGGCTGGCCTGTGGGGACGAAGGCTCGGCCACAGAACCCCAGCTGGACCCTCCCCCACTCTCCCTTTCCCTGGCCCCCTCCTTCCCCTGTACCTCTCTGCTCCCAGCCCATCCCCCTCACCCACTCACCCTCGCTCAGCTGCAGTAGCCCCAGTGACAAGGCCAGCAGCAGCTTGAGGCCCCGTAGCATCCTGTCCCTGTGTCTCCCACGGTGGCAGGCAGCAGCTTAAGTAGCGTGCCTGGGCCTCTCCACCCCCGCCCCGTCTGCTGCTCTGGGGGTTCCCAAGGGGCTTTCCTGGCCTGACCTGGGCCCAGGCAGGCTGCAGAGCAGAGGAGGGCCAGGCCTGGGTCAGAGCTGCTGGGGCAGGAATATCTGGTCAGGCTCCAGGTGTCCTCCCTTGAGTGGTGGAAAGACTCCAGAGAGCGGGCCAGCACCCTCCGGGATATGGGGGCCCAGGACTGGGGTCTCTGTGGAGTTGGGACAAGTCACCAGCTGCATACGTTCATTGCTCCACAGGGAGACTTCAGTCTGGGGTCTGCAGAGAGGTCTGGGCTGGACCCTGGCCAGGCAGCTGCAGTCACCCAGTCCAGGAACATCTTTCTGGCCTCTCCCTGGTCTCTGTTTCGCCACTGCCTCTGTGGCCCGTTGCTCAAACAGGTCCAAGGTGACATCAGATGCACATGGTCACCCGGGCTGCTGTGGAGGACCATCCAGACCCGCGCATCTGCCGTCTCATGCAGCCTCTGCCCACCCCTGTCGTCCAGGGGGCTTTGCCCATCTTGGGGGGTGGAGCTGGTCTAGCTGTGGCCCCACCCAAACCCCAGCACACAGGAAGAAAAACGTGCATTGGCCCAAGTTTGCCTTCAGATGACCTCAGGTGTGGTCTGCCTGTGCCTCAGTCTCCCCAGGATGGAATAAAGGAATGCAGCCAGGAAGGGTGGGCCAAGGTGCTTTGTCAGAAGCAGAAAGCAAGGCTAGCAGAGGTTGGAAGCAGGATGGGGAAACCGAGGCCCAGAGAGAGGGGCCTGTCTCTGAGGCCTGGGTGGGCCCCTCCCCTGCACCAGCATGATTCAGGAAGGTCAAACAGGAAGGCAGCTCCAAGGAGCAGGACCTCCCCGGGAAGCTGGGCCCTTAACCTGGGCGGGGGGCTGGAGAATGGCTGCTTCCCAGCCCCTGACCCCACTTCCTGCTGCTCCCCAGACCGGCACCACAGGGTAGGTGGGGAGGGGTCAGCAGGCGCCAGGCAGGCTGAGGCCATGGTAGACCTGTCCCACTGGGCCCTGCCTGGACAGTCATGGAGCTCAGCCCAGATCCTGCCTGTGTGACAGCAAGGGACACACACACACACACACACACACACACACACACACACACGGTGGTCTGGAGTTGACAGGTAGGCAGGGTCTGTGAGAAGCTCTGGGAAGAGGGGCAGTGAGGGCAAAGGGCTGGCATTAAGGACAGAACAGAGAGACACCCACGGAGATAGAGACAGACATGGAAATACTGACGGAGACAATGACTGAGCTAGAGACAGGGATGACAGAGAGAGAGAGAGAGAGAGAGAGAGAGAGAGAGAGAGAGAGAGACAGAGACAGACAGAGACAGAGACAGAGAGAGACAGAGACAGAGAGAGACAGAGAGACAGAGACAGAGAGAGAGACAGAGACAGAGAGAGACAGAGACAGAGAGACAGAGCGAGACAGAGACAGAGAGAGAGACAGACAGAGACAGAGACAGAGAGAGAGACAGAGACAGAGAGAGACAGAGAGAAACAGAGAGACAGAGAGATAGACAGAGAGAGACAGAGACAGAGAGAGACAGAGACAGAGACAGAGAGAGACAGAGAGAGAGACAGAGAGAGACAGAGAGAGAGACAGAGAGAGACAGAGAGAGATGAGAGAGAGAGACAGAGACAGAGAGAGAGACAGAGAGAGA